GATTATCTTCTGTGTCTGTATTAATTGGTTTCCCTTTTCTTTGTTGAAGAGCATCTGTGCAGTCCTTCTGCCTAGTCTGCCATCTTGCCAGAACTCCCTGCAATACATTTTTAGAATTTTTTTTTTGTATGAGTATCAAAGTAAGCATTATAAATTATAAATGGTGATAAAAGCAAATATAATTGATTCTCAGAAGCCCTATTTATTTGGCTGGTGAATGATTTGCATATAATGTTGTTGTTATATCCCGTTGAGTCCCCTCCTTGGGTTTCAGAGGCAGTATCACTACGGAAGTAGATTGTCCCATCTTCCTTCCGAGGAGTTACTAGTGGGTTTGAATGGCCAGCCTTCTGGTTAGCAGTCAAGTGCCTTAGGCACTGGGCTACAGAGCTCCTGCATATAATAGAGGCTGGTTATTTCTGGAACTCTGTTCTTGCATGTTTTTCCAACTCTATTTTCTCACCACTTTCTTATTACTGTATTGGTCATAATATTACTATTTTTTGAGAAGGGTACATATTTTAATTGAAAAACACTTAGACTTTAATATGACTGCCTTCTGTTTTTATTGGATGTCACCAGTATAGCCAGAACAGTGTGGATTGTACATCTGTGAGGTGATGGGCCTGATTTTACCTGCCTTTGTCCCCCATTCTGAAATGGGCTTCTTATGTGCCCACTGAGTATTGCATTTGTTATTTTATTGCAGATGTGTGCAAGAGAGGAAATGTGACTGTGACGCCTTCCAAAGAAATTTCACTTGGATCAGCTGTCAATATTTCATGTTATTTGAAGCCCCAACAAGGCTGCTCGAGCTATCCCAGTTCTAACAAGTTAATCCTCTACAGATTCAACAGAACAATTCACTCTCAGCATAGCCACTACCTCAGCTCTCAAGTCACAGGTCTCCCCCTTGGCACAACCGTGTTTCGCTGCAAACTGGCCTGTAGCAGTGGTGACGAGATTCGAATATGTGGGGCAGAGGTCTCTGTTGGTGGTGAGCATTCCATTCTGAACTCCTAAAAATTAACATACTTTTGGTACTTGAGATAAATTCAACAGAAAGCCAGATAGAGAACAATGTTCTATCTTCTATCAGAGGGAATATTTCATCTTAACCGTAACATAAGAGGACGTCAGTGTGAGAAGTCGAGAAATCAGAACTAGGGCCTCATTTGGTTTTGGTTTTGTTACTGTTATTTTGGCTGCTAAGACCATTCTCCTGTTTTCCTTGGACTCCAATGGCAGGAAATCGGAATTTCTGCAGCTCAGTCTTCCTCCCTTAATGCCACGAGATTTTATACAATCTCCAAAGGAAAAAAAAAAAGTAGAAAGAGATGTCTCCTTCTACTTATGCTGCCCAGGCCAACTACACAATGCTTAACATCTTTCCTCGTCTCTAACTTAAGGCACAAAAAGCAGTTCTCATAAATAAATATATATGGCAACATTGAAAATACAGTCATTGAAGTAGTTCCCATGGTCCTCTCCTTCCCTTTCAACTATGATCACCCCTGACCACTAGTTATCATACTTAGCAGAGGTTTAAAAGGAGCTATTATCATACTTACTATCTTTCGTTGGGTTCTCTAAAAAACTGCCTAAGATAAAACTGACACGCTAACACTTTGCGGAGAGAGGGAGATGCACTTTCAAAGGAGGCAAATGTGAGGGAGTGAACCAGGAAAGGAGGGAAAGCTAATACAGCATGGGTAAGTCACTAGCTGGCCACAGCTTTGACAGAAAACACAGCTGGTTGCTTGGTCATTAGGGGCATCCCCAGAAAGAATATATGGAAATGCAATGGCAGGGGAAAGAGAGAAGAGTTTCCCTGTCTTTCAGTGATCAAAATTCACTGCCCAGGGCAACAGCTCAACACTACTGTGTTGCTCTGATGGTCCCTCCGGGCAGCTGCTGAAGAACTAAGATGTCGGAGTTGGCATCAATAGCATGAGCCACAGTGCACAGCATGAGCCAGCAGCACACCGGCCTGCAGCTGGCAGCCTTGGAGGCCCAGCCAGTCAAGCCAGTGAGCAGGCAAAGCCTTGGTGATCCTATGGTGCCCTGCACCTCTGTGGTTGCAGGGAAGTTCTGGAGCAGAGGCGAGAGGCGTGAGGGGACGAAGAGGAGTTGCTGCATCAGGCTGCAGGACAGGGTCTCTGCTATGAAGTTCAATGACATTCTTTCCAGGAAAAATGGAAGCCTCTTCTCTCTAACCTGTAAGAATGTGATAGGTGCCAGGTAATTTTCCTAGAGGGTCAACAGAAGAACTGAGCAGAAAACCATGTCCAAGCAAATCATCAGGGGTGAGAAGGGCGAGAGGTAGTTTCCGTTAGATCCCAAACCTCTCTCCCAGATCAGGGCCTCTTTTTCACACCCTTTAGGGGTCATGCCCAATCAGCCTAGACTGCTGTGGTGGTGAGTAAACGGAGCTGAGCTTTGAATTTCAACCCTGCCACTAGCAGTGTACCCTTAGACAACTTCCATTCTCCCAGCCTCTAGTACACCATTTGTGTTATAAAGATATGAACACCTACTGCATAACGTGATTAAATGCAAAGTGCTTGTATGCAAAGTGATTAATCTAGAGACAGGCACATGGGAGCCACTTAGGTGATAAGAGCTAGGATTGCAATTTCATCCAGTTTTACTCTTTTCTTCATTTGTGCAGCATGCTAGCTACCTGCACATGTTTCCTAAAAGAAAGTACAAGCACTGGGTATACACAAAATGAAATTGAAAAACAAACGATCAAAAAACAAACCATTGGGCCTTACTTCCCTTGCCTGCAAAACACTTGACTATTTCACCTGGATAATTCACTGTCTTATGAGACCAATATTATATATTTGTGTAAGATATTTTCAGCTCTGTGATATCAGCTGTAAGTGTCCAGAGTGCTGCTGGCATTTTCTTCTCTTTTAGTAGATTGCCGACAGCCTTGGCATTCAGTTCCCTTGCAGATGTTCCTAGCCATTTCATTCCATATCATATCTATACTGAGATACATTAGAGTACTGTGATCCCCTTTGCCATTTTCATTTTTCCATCCAGTACATGTAGATGCATTTATTACAATTTGCAGTGTCCAAAGGTCTGAGGAGATGGTGAAACTTATCTGTCCTCAGCTCAGAGGTGATGCTGGGTGGTGCTACAGTATGTTGCTTGTGCAACATGAACAAGTGGTAACCACACAATCAAATGATTGCTCTTTGAGCAAGTTTAGCGCTTTTGAAGTGAAGGATTGACTGGAAGCAACATCATTTTCGGAGTATAGCCAGTCATTCCAAGAAAAGAAACAATGAATTTTGGTTCCACCTACTGTAATATGCTCAATCCTAGCTAGTGATAAAGTGATAGCCCATTTATCTTTTTGTGATAAGTGGTAGTCCGTAGTGCTGTCACTAAGAGGCCTATCACAACATTGGCTGTTTTTCCAGAATTGGAAATAAGCAGGCTGCCTTTTAGCCTTTTCTTTGTGGCCCTTGCCTAGGCTGGGCTGCTCTACCACGCAGAGCTCATCCAATCTGTGGAATAACTAAACACAGTGCTCTAGCTCAACTTCATAGGGTTGATCCACAAACCATTTAGATAACCAAGGCAATACATGAACCCTTGCTTGGTGCTTTTTAATATGTGCTTTGGCTGTGAATATTTCTGAAAATTATTTTTATGAGATTTTAAAAAAAATTTCTCATGATAAGTAGGACTTTTAAAAATAATAACAACCATACCTTGTAATTGTTTATTATATTGCAAGCTATTTTAACTTTTCAAAGCCTTTGATTGCTTTTCTTTGCTGGTATTAACTATAATAAGAAGAATTATGTCTGGTTTCCCTTGAGGCAGACAAGCTTACAAAACCAAGTCTGCATCAAGTAGACACCTTGATTTCATGGTCTAGGGAACTCACATTGAGAAAGTCGACTTGATATGTGGGTGAATGTTTCACATTTTTAAAAATGAAATCTTTAGGAGTAGGGAGGCGCTGAGAACTCATCTTCATTATGTAAAATTGTAAGGCACCTTACATCTCATTTGCTCATCAGAAGGCCCTATGCAGGGTTAAGAGTAAAAATGGTGAGTTTAACATACGAGTTTACTTCCATTCCCCCTGAAATAACATTACAAAGATTTCCAGTTATGTTAATTCTCAAGGACAAAAAAGGAACGGAGGGAAGAGGACATATCAACAAAATTTTGGAAGCTTGAAAGCAAGTAGGCCAGTGGTAATTGACTTAACCAACAGCTGACAGTGAGAAAAGTCAAGATGAAACTTGATGTAAAGCAGAAGCCCTCATTCCAGAAAGACTCGGAAATTGGTCATACCATGTACTTTTGGGAGTGAGGGCAAAAGTGGGGCTAAAAGTGGAGGTTTAACTGAAAATCTATTAAAAAGACAGTTAGAATCTCAGATTCTTTTCCCAATTCCATATAATAGGGCAGATGCTGTTCCCCTATTCTGCAATAAAACCGGAATTTGGTATGTGAAAAAGTGATACCAGTCTCTGAATTAGGAGACACAAGTCCATAGGTGGCAAGAGCATACAGAAAACCGGAAATATTAAGAAAACATTTACATACAGCTCTTTCCTCCATTTAGCTCCCAGAATGCAAGCAGCCAGGCCTGTACCCTCCAGGCAGAAGATTAGAAAATCCTTTTTCCAGGAAACCTAATCAGGCCAAGAGGAAACACCTAAAAATATTGACAACAGGAGTTCCCCAAAATACCCAGCCAGATCCCTCTGAGATAAAACTGCACACTCCCCCCACCCTCACCCCCAATGATTCTGACTCATGGAGACCCCATGTGTGTCATAGTAGAACTGTGCTCCATAGGATTTGTACTGGCTATTTTTTCAGAGTAGAGCACCAAGCCTTTCTTCCAAGGTATCTCTGGATGGACTTGAACCTCCAACCTTTTGGTTAGCAACTGAGCATGTATGTTAACTGTTTGCTTCACTCATGGACTCTCCTACACATGAGGGAAATACAGTCTTCTGAGGAAAATGCCTAACATGAAAGAGGTCAATAAAAACAAACAAACAAAACCACGTGGAACCAAACAAATAAGCAAAGTGGAGAAAATAGGAAATATTCAGGGAGAAGAAAATGTTAAGAAATGAAAACTATCTTTAATATCCTTAGAGAATTAAGAGAAAATACTTCATACAGAAAAAGAATAGGATGCTATAACAAGAAAACATTCACAGAATAAAAAACATGCCCCCAAATGAAAAACATAGGAAGCAGAAGTGAAAAACTCAATGGGAGGGTAGAAATATAAACTGAGGATGTCTCCCAGAGAGTAGAGCAAAAAGACCAAGAGTTTAAAAATATAGAAGATAAAAGATAAAGTTAGAGAAAGGTTCTATCTATGAATAATAGATTTTTATAAAGAAAAAAACAGTATAGAGGGAATCATCATATATAATATTGGTCTGATAAGACAGTGAAATTCAAGAAAAATGTTCCCAAACTGAAGACCAAGACTTGACAGAGTGTATGACCCTCTGAGAACTCAGAAGGATGGATGAAAATAGACCCTCATTTAACACATCTTTGTGAAAATCCAGAATGCTGGGTACAAAGAGAAGATTGTACAATCATATCATTTACAGTGACTGAAGAATGAGAATGGCTTTAGGCTTCTCAAGAGCAACCTGAAATCTTGACAACAGCAGAGCCTTACCTTCAGAATTCTGAATGGTTATTACTTTCTATCTAGAATTCTATATGCAGCTAAAGTGTAAGTCAAGTAGGAGGATAAATAGAGAACTGCTCAAAATCTGCCCCCTCCTCCATGCACCTTTTCCCAGGGAACTACGGAAGGATGTGCTTCATCAACACAAGTAATTAAATCAAGAAAGAAGGATAGGATCTAGGAAACAGGAGATCCAACACAAGAAAAAGAGGACTTAATCCCCAAGATACTTAGGACAGGCAATTCCACAGTGACAGCTGTGTACCAAGCATAGAGGCAGCTAGTTTTGATTGGAATGTTCACAAGATTATAAGAGAGAGGTCCTCAAACTAGTGGAATTCCCAATGCATCCAAATCTGTTAAACAGTGACTCAAATAATTGGCTTAAAAGTTTGGAATTACATTAATAATACAAAGTGTAGAAAATAAAGCAAATAGAACAAGACAAGTATTGACTCCAAGATAAACAAAAAGTAATACAGAAAATGAAAGGTTTTCCTAGTACTCTCTGTGACTCAGCCATAAGTAGTGTTTATGTATATGACATTTATGTCTCAATATGTATGATATCAAAATAATCTATACCAAATGCTGATCTAATCACAATTGTGCTACAACTTCACAAGAAGGAAGAAAGAAGAGCTAAACCCCCATTTTCCATATTGGAGAGTGCTTTAACCAAAATCAAACCAATTACAGTCATGTTGAATCTGACTCATGGTGATCCCATGTGTGTCAGAGTAGAGCTGCTCTTATAGGGTTCAATGGCTGACTTTTTTTCAGAAGTAAATCGCTGTGCCTGTCTTCTGAAGAGCCTCTGGGTGGACTTGAACTGCCAACTTTCTGGTTAGAAGCTGAGCATAATAAGTGATTGCACCGCTCAGGGTCTCCTGGACAGTGCTTTGCAAAATAGTGAAAACTGAAAATGAATGTGTAACTGTATGTTGTTTAGCAATCCCAAACAGTGCCAAAGGAATCAGCTGCAAAGAAGTTGAAAGTGGTAGATTCTGCGAGGGGAGAACTGGTGGGAAGGAGGAAGGGATTATTATTTTTTTTGCAACAAGCCTTGTAGAACTGTTTGACTCTGTAAAGCTTATGAATGCATAGTTTTTCAAACAAAACTATTTAAGCTAAATAATGTTATAACTGCTTTATAGACAAAGCTGAAGCTCTGAGAGGTTAACTTGTCAAAGCTCACAGAGTGGGCAGTTACCGTACCATGTCTATTTTATGTGTAAAAACAACAACAACAAAACACATTTAGTACATTAGTGAAGCTTTTTTTGGGGGGGGGAGGACGTACAGACAATATCTAAAGCTTTAGTGCTATCCTTGTTTTATCTCACCAAAAGAAAATATCTGTTCTATTCAAATTGCTAGAATTTAATACACTCTGTGGTGTAATCAGAGCTCTGGTGGCGTAGTGCCTAAGGCATTTGACTGCTAACTGGAAGGGTAATGGTTCAAACCCACCAGCCACTCCTCGGAAGGAAGGTTGGGCAATCTACTTCTGCAGTAATGCTGCATTGGAAACCCAAGAAGGGGTCGCTATGAGTCAGGGCCAACTCAATGGCACGTAACAACAACAACAACAACATTCAAATTGACTTCTACATATGGGTCTTAGAATGAGGGTAGAATGGTATGAGAACAAGTAACAGAATACTTTCTCTTCCCTCTATGATGTATGAGAAACTCCTAGCTTTGGTAACTGTCTTTGACTATAAAGTAGCTTCATTTGAAAATATATACCTTATGAGATAAGGGATTATACCTGCCTTGTTCCTCTTTGTATTTCTACAGCTAGCACCATCTGGCCCATGAGAAATACACAATATCCATGTAAAAGAAGAATCAATTAATTTATAATGATCACAGAGTGCTCCAAGGGACGCACTGTGGAAATTAGACTTAGGTGCTATAGTTCAGGAAGACATGATTAGAGCCAGTGGGTAGAAATAGGCAAATTTTAGGTCCATGGAGGAAAGGTATCATAACTTTTAAAGGTGCCTGCCTAATGATGGCACAAACTGTTAATTGCTCAGCTGCTAACCAAAAGGTCAGTGGTTCCAACCCACCCAGCCACTCCATGGGAGAATTATCTGGCAATCTGCTTCTGTAAAGATTATAGCCAAGAAAACCCTATGGGGCAGTTCTACTCTGTCACATCAAGTCACCATAAATTGAAATGGACTCAATGGCACCTAAAAACAACAATATTTGAATGGAGTCTTGGGTGGTGTAAACAGTTAACATCTAGGATGCTAACTGAAAGGTTGGCGGTTTGAGTCCATGCAGATACAACTGGGAAGAAATGCCTGGTAATCTGTCACCAAAAACCAGCCACTGAAAACTCTATAGAGCAAGTTCTATGCTGACACGCTTGGAGTCATCATGAGTCTGAGTTGACTTCATGGCAACTGGTTTTAATATTTGAAGGGGCTTCACTCTGAGGAAGTTAATGCACCATCACCTGAGGTAACTGAGCATATACTAACTGTTTGATCCATATTCACTACTATTACTACTGTTATTAGAAGGAACTTATGCCTTGAAGGTAAATTTGAACTTGAAGGACTCTATAATACCTCCTAGCTTACCTTGTTATAGGGGATGGGGCATTGGGTTGATAGGTACTATCATCTTGTTAGACAAATACATAACAATGGAATTTAAATATCACTTATATGATATTTAAAATATGAGGTTTTGCTCTCTTTCTTTTTAAAGTTGTACCAGAACAGCCTCAAAATGTATCTTGCATACAGAAGGGAGAACATGGGACTGTGGTCTGCACCTGGGACAGAGGAAGAGACACCCATATATCAACTGACTATACTTTACAGTGAGTAAGGGGCTCTATTTTTTCAGCTCTGTAGGATTTCACTTAGATGATCTTTCAAAATATCCAGCAGTTCCATTTTCACTAAAGAAAAAAAAAACAACAGATACCTCTAAACAATTGTTGTTGTTGTTATGTGCCGTCGAGTCAAACCCGACTCATAGTGACCCCTCCTTGGGTTTCCGAGGCAGTATCACTACGGAAGTAGGATTGCCCAACCTTCCTTCCAAGGAGTGGCTGGTGGGTTTGAACCGCCAGCCGTCTGGTTAGCAGGGAAGTGTCTTAGCCACTATGCTACCAGAGCTCCCTCTAAACAATCAGATCCTTTTTTAAAAAATCTAATCCTCATCAATTAAAACTGGTTCATTGACCTAAAGTGTGAGGCCTGATATCTTGGGAACTATTCTCAGCTGAGTGCTAACTAAGAGTGCTCTTCAGACCATCCCAGGTCCATATTTTGATAGATCTTCCCTGGTCTAGTAGGGGTAAACTGACTGCATAAAATCACTTCCCTCTTTTATGTTTACAAACTCTTGGGGTCATGATATGTAAATAGATTCTTCTTGTGGTAAATTTCTCTTAGCCTTTGAGGCGCTTTTTCTAAGCACGTTTTCCTGACCTGAGTCCACAAGAAGAGTGGATACAGAGTTTCTTCCACGGCCCATCCAAAGACCCAGCTGATTTCTACTAGATGGCCCCAAGCCCGAGTGACCAGGAGATGGGGCATAAGGATTCCAGTCTGACCATTACTGTACCAGAAGCTGCTTCTTTTGTGTAATTGTTGCTAAAGTGGCCAGGGATCCTTTGGATAATGATTGAAATTTCATTCAGGAGCCAAGATGGCAGCCAGGGAATTCAGGCAGTATATTCAGGAAAGTTAGTCATCTATGAGAAGATTAAAAAAAAAAAAAATCTTAGTTCTACCAAAAAAAAAGAGAGAAGGGAGATAGGATCATATTTATGGCCACACAATACAAATATGCCCATGATGCTTACCCTGGTCGTGACATTGACCTTAAAAAAGTGTCTAGAACTTTAAATATTTGAACACTTCTTATTTAACTTGGAAGGAAGACTGGACAATCTGCTTCTATATAGAAACCGCCTCTGAAACCCAAGGAGGGGTCGCTATGAGTCGGGATCGACTCCACAGCAGTGAGTTTTGTTTGGTTTTGGTTTTGTTATTTAAAGGAAAAAATAACACATAAAGTATCTTAACATAATTATCTTTTATTTAAAGGTTAAGTGGACCACAAAATTTAAGTTGGCAAAAGCAATGTAAGGATCATTATTGTGATCATTTGGATCTTGGAATAAACCTAACGTCTGAATCACCTGAATCCAGTTACACAGCCAAGGTTACTGCCATCAATAAACTTGGAAGCTCTTCTTCATTTCCATCCACATTCACATTCCTGGACATAGGTATATTTTATTTCCCTGTTAGTAGGTACCATTCATTGGTACATAAAATTTATTCTTCTCTAATGCTCAAATCTTATGTATGTACTTGTTTGTTTCACTGAAGACAGTGGTTGATGGAAGTTGCCAATGGGCATAGGCAAAGGGTAGAAGTTACTTTAATACAATAAAATGCATGCTAACTTAGAACTATGTAAGATAGTGGTACAAAACGGGATATTCAACATTATTCTCTCTGTTGGAAAAATAAGAGCTAATGAGACAATGTACTTCCGTAGTGATACTGCCTCAGAAACCCAAGGAGGGGTCGCTATGAGTCAGGTCCGACTCAATGGCACATAACAACAACAACAACTTCATGTCATGAAGGCACCAACTTTATGAGGGCACCAACTACCAATGATGCCATCTGACTGTGAGGTTATTCAAGAAATTCAAATAGGCCCTTCTTGGTGGGGGTATCTTTTTACCCCCATGGATACTCCCACTGCTCTGAGATGACTACATGTTGGCCTACTGGGCTAGAGCAGCCAGGTACAAGCTATCAATAAAATGCATGTACAAATGTATCTTTCTCTTGAAATATTTACCTCTAATCTTCTTATCAGCTTGAGAGCTAGAATGAACTAGTTCTGGCACATTTCTGAGCTAATAAAATAGGCCCTGTTAAATCAGAGACCAACCTCAGGCATCCCTGAGTTCTGACAATCCCAGGTAGGACTGAAGTTTACCTGAAATAACAGCCTCACACACTTTGTCTATCTTCTCTCCTGTCATAGCACCTTTTTGCATGTTGTTCTTGTTGTTAGTTGCCATCGTGTCAGTTCCAACTCAGCAACAACAGAATGAAACATGGCCTAATCCTGGGCCATCCTCACAGTCATTTCTATGCTTTAGCCCATTGTTGCAGCCACTGAATCAATCCCTCTCACTCAGGGTCTTCTCCTTTTTCACTAAACCTGTACTTGACCAAGCATAATATCCTTCCCCAGGGACTGGTGCCTTTTGATAACATGCCCAAATTACCAGAGACAAAGTCTGACCATTCTCTCTTCTAAGGAACATTCTGGCTGTACTTCTTCCATGACAGATTTGTTTGTTCTTTTGGCAGTCCAGAGTATTTTCAATGTTCTTCACCAACACAATTCAAATGCATCATTTCTTCTTTGGTCTTCATTATTCATTGTCCAGCTTTCATATGCATATGAGGCTACTGAAAATACCATAGCTTGGGTCAGGTGCACTTTGAAGACTAAGACTTTAAAGAAGTCTTTTACAGCAGATTTGCTCAGCACAATACGTCATTTGATTTTTTTCACTGCTGCTGCTATTGGTGTTGATTGTGGATCCAAGTAAAATGAAATCCTTGACAACTTCAATCTTTTCTCCATCTTTTAGGATGTTGCTTATTGGTCCAGTTGTGAGGATTTTTGTTTTCTTTATGTTGAGGTGTAATCCATACTGAAGACTATAGTCTTTGATCTTCATCAGTAAGTGCTTCAAGTCTTCATCACTTTTAGCAACCAAGGTTGTATCATCTGCATATGCTAAATTTTAATGAGTCTTCCTCCAATCCTGATGCCGCATTCTTCTTCATAGAGTCCAGTTTCTTGGGTTATTTGATCAGCATACAGATTGAATAAGTATGACGAAAGGCTATAACTCTGATGCACACTTTTCCTGGTTTTAAGCCATGCAATATCCCTTTGTTTGAACAACTGCCTCTTGGTCTGTGTACAAGTTACAATTAAGTGCTCTGAAACTCCCATTCTTTTCAATGTTGTTCATAATCGGTTGTGATCCACACAGTTGAATACCTTTGCATAATCAATAAAAACACAGGTAAACATCTTTCTGGTATTCTTTGCTTTCAACCAAGGCATGAGCAATGATATCCTTCATTCCATTCAGTTGTTTTCTGAAACTGACTTCAATTTCTGGTACTTTGCTGTTGATATACTGTTGTGACCGTTTTTGAATTATTTTCAGCCAAATTTTACTTGTGTGTGATATTAATGATATTGTTTGATAATTTTGCATTCTGTTGGGTCACCTTTCTTTGGAATGGGCACAAATATGAATCTCTTTCATTCAGTTGGCCAGCAGTCTTCCAAAGCTCTTAGCATAAATAAGTGAGTGCTTCCAGCATGGCATCCATTTGTTGAAACATCGCAGTGGGTGTTCCATCAATTCCTGGAGCTTTGTTTTTCAGCAATTCCTTAAGAGCAGCTTGGACATTTTCCTTCAGTACCATCAGTTCTTGATCACATGCCACCTCCTGATATGGTTGAACATTGATAATTCATTCTGGTACAGTGATTCTATGTATTCCTTTCATCTTCTTTTGGTGCTTACTGCATTGTTCAAGATTTTGCCCATAGAATCTTTCAGTATTGCAATTCGAGGCTTGACTATTTTCTTCAATCCTTTCAGTTTGAGAAATGCTGAGTGTGTTCTTCCCTTTGATTTTCTAACTCTAAATCTTTGCACATATCATTACAATACTCTACTCTTCTTGAGCCACCATTTGAAATCATCTATTTAGCTCTTTTACTTGATCATTTCTGGAAGAAATGATATAAGGTTAATGTTACATTTCTGGAAGAAATGATCAAGTAAAAGAGCTAAATAGATGATTTCAAATGGTGGCTCACTTTACCCACCATTTCAAATGGTGGCTCACTTTACTCTCCATTCAAAAGCAAGTTTCAGAGTCCCTCCTGACATCCATTTTGATATTTTCTTTCTTTCCTGTCTTTTTAATGAAGTTTTGTTTTCTTCATGTATGATGCCCTTGATGTCATCCCACAACTTGTCTGGTCTTTGGTCACTGGAGTTCAGTGTGTCAAATCTATTCTTCAGATGGCCTCTAAATTCAAGTAGGATATATTTAAGGTCATATTTTGGCATACATACTGCTAATTTTATGAGCCTGAACATAGACATTTTTGAAACACTTTTCCCACCCTAGTGTCCATCTCTTTCCATAGATTATTCATCTCTAAGCTATTTTCTTTTCCCTTTACACTTTGCTTCTGCTTTTTTGTTTGTCTATCCCTTTCCTATAAGTTTTCCCACCAATATTTCTTCTCCTCCTGGAAGCAATTACCAGCAGCCACCTCTCCCTTCTTATCTCTTGGAATCTCTTGAGTTTGGCATGGTAGTTTTCTGTAAATCACTAGATTAAGTGGGTTTGACACCATCAGAAACGTTGATATTATTTTATTTTGTAAAAATTTGGGTAGATTAAGGTGAATTATTTTAATTATTTAGAAATGAATCAAAATTTTTCTTTGTTTTGAAAAAGCCAGGAATTCATCTCATATGTTTTGCCAAATTGGGTGGTTGTGCATCTTAGAAATGAATTTTTTTTCAGATCTTTATATATCATATTATTACATAAGTCAATTTATAAGTGTGGAACCTGAATTTACCATTTTGTCCTGGTTGCTAGTGAAGCCTCTTCCTCCGTGGGACATAGGAATCACATTTCTAAATGATTCCGTGAGAAGATGTACACTTCATTGGAAAGATGAGGGTCTGGTGCTGCTAAATCGACTCAGATATCGGTTCAATAATGGCGGGTCCTGGAATATGGTAATGGTCTTAAGACTAAATGGGAAGGTGTCCTTATGTTACTACACAGAACTCTGTCTTTTCTTAAGAGTAAAATATAGAGTTTAAGAATATTTAGCCCTAACATATATACTTATAATGTATCAGAAAGTCAACTACACTGCCATTTATTAAGCAATATTTTGAATTTTCATTACTAATTCTGAAATTTTTAAGCTATAGGCTTCTGAGAATCATTACTACTTTTCTACCATTTATTTCTAGTATAGGATTCATTTCTCGCTGATACTATATCTCCCCATTATTACATTTTTGCAATTTTGTGACAGAAATAGAATTATTAGAGACTATCTATAGAGGCTTATATGGAATAGACTATCGCAAAACTAAAGCACCACAATTTGGTACATTATTAGGCATTAATTTATTTATATAATGTAAAGTATAAGATTATGAATCTTTCCAGTATTTTTGTAAAAAAATGATTTATAATAATAATAATGGGTTAATTATAGCCAGTTCTATGTCTGTATTAAAACATTTATTACATTCTAATTGTGAAAAAATAAAAAGAAATCGCAAGTGTAGGTTCTCCAAGGTTTTTGAAAGTGATGGTTTTCAATCTATAGTCATTGTCCAGCTGGTTTCAGGATCCCACTTAGTACCCATGTAGATCAGTTCTTAGTCCAGGAGATTTTTGTGTATTTTTTAAAATGAGATGTTATATCATATATTAGTATCATGTGTATTTAGAAACCCAATCATTGACGTTTCTTTGCATTGAATAGTAAATTTGAAAAATATATCTAAGGTGGGCCTTCTCGTCTAACTTCTTTCTTTAATGTTAAGATTCCTTAAATCAATTTAATTTTAATATGCACCTTTTAAAATCTTTTTTGATTTAAGGTTAATGTTACAAATGCCAAAGGAAGACATGATTTGCTTGATCTGAAACCATATACAGAATATGAATTTCAGATTTCCTCTAAGCTACATCTTTATAAAGGAAGTTGGAGTGATTGGAGTGAATCATTGAAGAAACAAACACCAGAAGAAGGTATGTGTCAAAAAAAAAAAAAAAGGAAGGGGAGGGAAAAAAAGGAACGAGAGAGAGGAAAAAGTTTGAGAAGGAGAATATATGAATTTTTAATACCTAAAGTTAGAGATGACTAAAAATATTACTTTGCTAAATGATTTTTGCTATTTAGATTACCAAGTATACTATAAATGATGATTGACTTTATGGAATAACAAAAATTTGTCATTTTTGTGAAAATGGTAGCATTATCTTCATTTTCCAAATAAAGAAATTGAGTAGCTTAAAACACTTGCCAAAGGTAAAACAGACAGTAGTAAGTGATGAATCTAGGACTTATTTAATGCCAACTTTTTGCATTATACCATTTCTTCCAGTCTTCTAAATGAGACATTATTTTTTACATAGATATTACTATTCACTTTGTGCTCTTTGTTTTATTTTACATTATTTCATAGTCTCTTTATCAGTATAGACCACAACTCTATGATTTCATTCATTCCAGTAAATATTTTATTACAATCATGTGGGATACTCCAGCTAGGGTACTAAGCATTGGATATATAAGAAAAATAGACAAAATCCTTGACCTCATAGAGCTTACATTCCAATTGGGAAAGATAAATTATAACAAACAAATAAAAAGTAAAAAGTCAGATATATGTGTTATTCAGAAAATTAAAATAAGATTATGTTACAGCAATGGAATGGCTATCCGTTTATTGGGAGGTCAAAGAAGGCTTTGCAGAAGGGAGGGTTTGGACTGGAAATATAGTTTTAGGAGTCATCAGAATGGAAATGGTATAGTTAATATAAAGGGACTAAACGTGATAGCCTAGAAAGAATGTGCGTGCAAGGGACTCCTAAAGCTGCATGACCATTAGACATTGGGCTGAAGAGGAAAGGGCTTGCAGTGGAAACTGTGAAGTAACAGGTAGTGAGGTAGAGTGAAAATTGGGAAAGTGTGGTGTCATGGAAGCCAAGAGAAGAATGTTCAAGCAGCAGTCGTCAAATATGTCTGATGCTGCTGAGATGTCAAGTATTAGAGAAGTAATTTATGGAGTTTGCAGCATATAGACCATAATGACAATGACCAGAAGAGGCTCAGTGAAGAAGTGAGACACAAGCTTATTTGGAATAGGCTGACAAGCAAGTGAGGAGAGGAAGACAAGATGTCTATAGGTAACTCTTTCATGAAGTTTTACTTGGAAGAAGAGCAGAGAAATAGTGAGACAGCTGGAAGAGGGAAGAGGAAACAGAGTCAAGATAGGGTTTTGCTTTTGTTTTTAACACTTCAAGATCCTCAAGTTTGTATGTTTAAGAAGAGCATATTAAAGAAGCAAGTTACTTGATGAAGTAAATGGAGATGAAGCTAGAAAACAAGCAAAGAGTTTGCCCTTTGATAGGAAGAGAGACAAGGCCATCTACAGCAGCAAGAAGGATGGCAGAGAGCCTGGGAGCAAATGGGATTGGTTGTTCTATTTGGGATTAGGACTATATGAGAACTTCTTTCTGATTGCTTGTATTTTTTCCATATGTATGAGGCCAATCATAAGCACCAGGGGTATAGATAGGATGTTCAAGGGAAAAGAAGGTTTTACTGGAAGAATAGGTTATTGGATGCAATAGGGGAATATGGTTAAGTTGTCAGGCAGAATTAGGCGTACCCTTGAATTTTTGACTATGCATTTAACATCACAGTTATGCTTTTTCTACATGGTTATTTTTTTTTTCTACAACATCTTCTTGGGTGCAGACATGAAGTAGGCTGATAGTTCAGTTTAACCAAGTTTGTAATTTGACCAGATTGAGAATGGTGGAAAGAGGAAATATGAGCAAATGAGTGTGATTTTATTGATGGACTATGGAGTTTAAACTGAGTAAACTGAGTTTAAACAGTAAACTGTTTAAGTGACAGCATGAGGTAGATATATTTTAAGGAGCTCTGCCTGGGAAACCCAAGGAGGGATCGCTATGAGTCAGGTCCGACTCGACGGCACATAACAACAACAACGGTAGCATAGTGCCTAAAGCACTTGACTGCTAACCAGAAGGCTGGCAGTTCAAACCCATGAGCTACTCCTTGGAAGGAAGGTTGGGCAATCTACTTAGTAGATTGTGATACCACCTTGGAAACCCAAAGAGGGGTCTCTATGAGTCAGGTCCGACTCGAAGGCACGTAACAATAACAACTTACGTTCTATTGTATTATACTAAGTTCACTACATTTCATATTTGTTGATTAGTTGCATGCTTAATTTTTTTTATCTTTGTAGAACTAGGTTTTGGTTTTACATTTGCCTATAATAATTTCCTTGGAATAGAATTTCTAAATGACTGGTACTAAATTAAAAAGACATGATTATATTTATTAATAAGTTAATTTTTACATTATCTTAAGTACTGAAACGGTCCAAGGATATATTTTATATTGTTAGCAAATTTTTAACATTAGTTAAGTCCTACTTCTGTTTGCTGCAAGTCATGTATGTTATAACCTATGCCTCGGTTCTAACTCTTATCTCTATTCCTCTTATCATTGCACTAACTCTCTCCTGTTCAACAAAGCTATAAGGAATAATTAATCTCATTCCTAATAGTTAAACCTTGATACATCCTTACCTTTTTTTGATCCTATGAAAAATAATTTAGCTCTATAAGTCATACCAAAGTGTGATAGAAAGTAGATACTGGAGACAAGTTTTTATAATAAAATTTAACACCCAGCAATCATCTTTTCTCCAAATATCACAGCACTGTATTCTTCAAGGAATCCCTGGGTGGTGCAAATGGTTAATGCTCTCAGCTACTAGCTGATAGGTTGGAGGTTCAAGTCAACCCAGATACTACTTGCAAAAAGGCCTATTAATCTACTTTGGAAAAATCAGCCATTAAAACCCCTATGGAGCACAGTTCTACTCTGTGCATGCAAGGGGTCATCATGAGTCAAAGCCAACCCAAATGAGAAAGAGTTTGCTTTTTATATACTTCTTCAAGCTTTTGATATTCATTGCTTAGATGAGCATCACCAGACTATAGCTATGGAAAATATCTCATATATGTTTTTTTCATTCTGATGTACTTTGCTTTTTGGTAATTATTGGGAAAGCAATTTTATTGAAGTGTAATCAAGTATTTTATTGAAGCAAAAATGCATGCATAAACTTTATGCCAATATTAAAAGGACCTTGGAGACACAACAGAAGGCCATCTGACTGCATATTCAAAAGCACTCAATTAATGTTATAGTATAGACTTTTTCATAATTTGTGTAAACTTGGCTCAGAAGAAAAATTATTTACATATGATCCATTGCTTTATTACCTGGAGCTTTTCTACTGTTATTGTGTGTGGTAGTTTAGATTATGTGTCAGCTTGGCTGAGCCTGGTTTTGAGTGGCTGGGCAGCTGGATATAGTTATTCCCCATGAGGAGATTGGTAATCAATTCCATGGTGGAATCTACTGTGAGTAGCCTTAGGAATGTAGTCTGCTTCCAGCAAATAAGAAGAAGCTTTGAGAAAGGTCCCTAGCTTTTGGCACGCTTGGATCCTGTATGTGGCCAAGTTGTCATTCAGCAGTCTGCCATGTTGTCTGCCGATCTTGGGACTGTTTCTGGACTTGAACTAGTGGCCTGCCATGTTGCTTGATAATATTTAGACTTTGCCATTTAATTCGTCGACCTTGGTTTGTCAGCCTCAGCAGCCAGCAGCTGCCTGAGTTAAGAGAAGTCTCCAGCTCCAGTGGGCTGGGTGCAAGAGGCAGAGCTGAAGCCCAAGGTCAAGAGGCCTTCACCCAGCCCCCAGAGCTGGCACTTTGAAATCAGACTTCTAAACTCCAAAACTGTAAGAGAATGAATCCATGTTTGTTAAAGCCACCCACTTGTGGTATTTTCTGTTAGAGCAGAACTACAGGACCAAAACACTGTGAGAAAATCTAAAGTCTTTTCTGTGAGACTTGTGTGCATATAAACTAGACTCATGATTAGGTGATATTCATTTTCTATGAGCCACTAATGATTTTTAGTAACTGATGACACTCATCAATGATATCCCAAGGACAAACAAGGACCAAAAGAGCCTTTTAACAGAATATCAAACCCAAACCAAATTCATTGCTTTCTAGTCAATTCTGTCTCATAGAGATCCTCTAAGATGGAGTAGAACTGCTCCACGGGGTTCCCAAGGCTGTACATTTTTATGGAAACAGACTGTCATATCTTTCTCCTATGGAAGCAGCTGGTAGGTTTGAACCACTGACCTTTTGGTTAGCAAGCCAGTGCTTAATCATTATGCCACCAGGGCTCCTATTAGCAAAATATAGTATCTAATATATAAGTTGTAGAATAATCTTCTATTCTTCCTTCCTTCTTGTATTAATCACATTTCTCTATTTTTCAAAAATGTTTAAAAGTGAAATAACTCAACAGATTATAATTTACTCCCTCTCTTTCTATGATAAACTCACTTAAATTATTAAGTTACTTGCTCTCTGTTTAAATGCTTGTCATTTTTATAAGACTTACTAATATTATCCTTATTTATCGCACATAGCCAAAGTACTATATTTTAAAAAAAACACCTCATGAATTATATTTTGTTTATGATGCACGATACAGGTAAAATTCTTAAAAATGGGTTGTGTTTTGTGTCTAAGTCCAAAGTAGTAAATAGGCTGAGGAATAGTTCAGTTGTATCATATTAGGCTAAACTGTAAAATAGGGAAATTCTGGGCCAGTGAATTCTCATCACTTACTTACATTTGATAACGGCCTATATAAAGACATGTAGAAGGTTTTTCATATTGTTGGTTTTGTTTTGTTTTAAGTGTTTATCTCTCATATATAAAACTCTACATGACAGGACCATTTCTTTCTCAAATCCTATAAAATACATCAGCATCATAACAGTGAGTACAGCAACTCATCTCTCTGTGTGAATAGTTATGAATTGAACCTAGGAAGGTGGCTTATTCAGAATAATTTTGCTGACATTCATAAAGAGAGAAACCCATACTCTGAGAT